TTATTTTTATTTATTTATTTTTTTAATTGGACGCCTTTTGAAGATGGGGTGCTATGTTGGGCCGTATGCATAAAAGCTAAGCAAATGCTATTTCTTAAAATGTCAGACCTTTCACTCCATTTGTTCAAATAAATTTCAAGTTATGACAGTTTAAGAAAAAGCAATTGCTTATGCCGCATTTCCACTAGGCATTGAAATGACAAAAAATGTATGCGATTTAAAAAAAATGCCATGTGGAAATGAAATTAGTGACAATTTTTTTAATATAATGACACGAATATTTTTTAATGCCCGACTTTGTCATTTGTAATTTTTGTCATTTAATACCTAGTGGAAATCCAGCATTCGTCTCCTCAAATACAAAAAGCCGTAACTAACATCGTCTTTTCAAATACAAAAAGCCGTAACTAACATAGTCACTAAAACATAAAATTCCGTAACTAACACAAATCCATAATTCACCATTTGATTGATTATGATGAATTTAATCGCATTACAAGTCCCCATATCGTTTTATAAAACAAAAGTTGGTACTGCCTTTTGCATTTCAGGTGACGATATGTAGCTGTTAATTTGCTAAGAAAAGAGAAATTATTTGTGTAGCTTTAGTTTTTTAAAGAAAAATTTTTATGAAATTTGTGTATGTTCAAAGAAAAACTAAAATCTTATAGCTGGTTTCACGAAAGCAATCTGCATGGAAAATGATATTTTTTCTGTAAGTTTCCATCATGGAATTATTATTCTTGTATTCCATATTAAATTCAAATAAAACACAATGATTTTTAACTTAAATCGCTTTCGTGAAACAGGCTATTCGTATTTCAATAGCTCTACAGACAGGGTTGCCACTTTGGTAAATTATTACGAAAATTGGTAGAAAAAAAATGGGTGGGTAAAAAGATAAATTTTTTCTCATTTGGGTAGATTTTTGCTAAAGTATTTTGTTTGAAAAAGAAAATAAATTCTAGTTCCCGCTTTATTTTTTTTAGTTATCTTTGTGTTTCTTTCCTAAAGTTTAGTCTACTTTATTGCATTAATTTTAGAACGCTTTAATGCACACTTTTTATATACATACATACATATGTATTAGGGCGGGTCGAAAATCTAATTTTACTCAAATCCCTTGGTAATAGTGAAAATATAATGTATCATGAAGTCAACAAGAAGCCTGCAAAATATTAGTATTTTATTTTAATGTTAAGAGCCCGCGCATCGACCGCCAAGTCACCCACAGCACACTAGTCGAATAAGACCAATTCTTGTTAAAAATTCTGGGTTCAGCAAAAACGTTTGGTGCATATTATTAAGTAATGAATCAGTTAATGCAAAAGATAAAGTCAAATATAATTTTTCGCAGCCCTTTAGCTTATCGTTAATCTCAAAGTTATCTTTTTTCAATACATTTTTAATTGTTCTCTTGATAATTGCACTGGCCTATAGTCAAAAGATGTAAAGAACAGCATTAATATTGCTGCCGTTCATTTAGGTCGCTGGTTGCAAATATTCTAATCTTGTTTTAATATTAGCTATAGTTTGCGAATTTTTGAAAATTTAGGAACAATTTCGGTAGCTCTAATAGACAAGCCATTATTTTGCATCATCGTGGAAAAATTTTGGTTTATGCAAGTGAGTATGGAAACACTGAATAGGCACAATTTCTAGAAACACTAATTAGTTTACTTATGTTTATGCACAATATAAAAATTGCAAATAATGGAAAATTAAAAAAAAAAATGTTCAACACTTTTTTTTAATTTAAAACAATTTGTTTATAATCTGAATTATTTTTATAATATTATTACTATAAATCAGTAACAGTAAGTCTCTCCTTCAATTTGGTACTTAATACGTGCCGATCGAGTAACATTTACCAAAGTTATATCGAAAAACTTAAGTGGATCTCCAGTTTTTTTTCTAAAAAAATGTATCTTCAATTGTATAAAAAACGTTTAGATAAAAGAGCCGGATTACAGAAAAGTGTTCCAGGGAGCGCCTTTTTTCGTTCAAGCTGAATGCGAAGCACTATCGTCCAATTGGAGAGTCTTCAAAAGGATTTCCCAGGATATGTTAAACACTTTTTTCACATAATGCAATTAACTAAAATACTTATGCACTATATCTAAACAATTATTTCACGTCTCCTACTTTCATATAACGGCAAATGTAGAAACCGCGAAAAATGTGCGTCTTCGTTGACTAATAAAACTATTCCGCACCAATTTTCAAGACTGCATAAATGGACTTAAAATGGGCGTTTCCCACCCTAACTGTATTATGTTAACTTATGCAACTACTATTAACTTATCAAACAATTCATATTCTTTGACGATACATATTTCATTTCATTCATCAGGATTTTGAAAACTGACCAAATCGGCGTGACCAAGTCCATGGTCCTTTTAATACTATATAAGCATCCGAAAACATTAAAACGTTTGAAATAAATCCCGTCTCACTTTTTTGTATTTTTCACTTGGTTCCTGAAGTAATGAAGAATTGAAAATCTATACGGGAAAATTATAGTTTTTGTAAGTTTTATCTTAATATTTTAAAATTTAAGATTATTGAAAAATGATAAATGAACGTGAGGTACTAAATTTAATAACCCTTAATTTGATATATCGTGCGGTTTATAAAAATTAACGCATGCCATAGATATTACCAGACAAAGTTTCATTTTCAAAATTCATATACTTTGATGCAATTGCGCGGGCTAAAGATAAGTTTTAAATTAATCTTTCGTGGCCAATAACAATTGGCTAAGACCTAAGACATCATAATATTACTATTACAATGCGGTCAAACGACTTTTATTTTCCCCCATACAAAATCGACCCAGCCTAATATGTATATAGTATATCGATAAAAGGCGGAATCCTGAGGAGCTTTTGATTGCCTAATACTATGTTAAATGATTATTTTAATCCAAAGAAAAAATGGACAGGTATATAATTACACACTATGATTGTTGGCAAAATAAAAATAAAAATCAGAGCCAGTTTTTGTAAATGGCAATTGTTAAATGAAAAAACCACAAAAGACCAGCGCAAATTTTTTTTAAATCAACGGGAAAGCTGCCAATTGTTGTTTATACTGAAATCTCATGTGCTATAAAACTGCATACCCAAAATTTTTCCAAAAATTCAGAGTAAAAAGTTTTAAATTTGAACGACATTTTTTAATTCCCTAATTCCTAAATGTTGTAAATAGCTTTAATCCTTGATTTTTATGGGTTTGGCTAAAGCGCAAACAAAATTCTTATACAAAAAATAGCAAAAAGATTTTTACTTGAAAGGCATTGGAATATTAAAAAAATATCAAACGGCTTTTTGAGTCACCCTATTTGTCGGTAATAACTCCACTTGAAGTTTTTTCAAATGATTAACTTTCGTTGTTGCCTTTACTTTTATCACTTTCGCTTTTTCGAAATAACTAAAAAGATAGAACAAAACAATAGCTTTTATTAAATTAACTAAAGAGAAGTTTTAATGTGGAACGATTTTCCGTCATCCCTTGTCAAATTTTACAACGCCGAAACCGGCTTGTCTTCAAACCCAAAAATCGAGAATAAGAAAAAAGTTATTGGTAGATATTTTCCAGATTCGGTAGATTATTTTCAAGTGGATGGTAAGTATTTTACTTCGTCAGTGGCAACCCTGTCCGCAGAGCATAAGCACTTGATTCGCAGAATAAGATTTATTAATCCTCACCGGTAGTTAGGGAGTTTTAAATCTTTCTGAACACAGTCTATAGTTACTTTTACAACAAAATTGAGAGATGTACAGCGAACTTCGGGTATGTCTGCGCCTTCATTATTTGCTCATATATTTATTAGTAGATTTTCTTCATCTACTGGAGGACTTGGCAATTTGCTCCGATTATTAAGAACCTCATCTACTGTAGGTGGAGGGCTATGGGGTGGTGAAGGCTCTGAAATTGATGTTGGTCCCGTTTCTCCATCAGCGGGGGGATCTTGCGGTATGGCGGTGTTTTCAGGATAACCTTTACCATCGCCTGAGTCATAAGCTTCACCGCCAATGGAATCATGGACATTCTTCAGGCAATTGTGAATACAAGCCACGATTGAGAGAATACAAAGGTTGCGCCGATCTCGGACCGCTATTCCTCTCTTAACGAGTTTGACAGAAGCGTTGTTTGCATGACGTCACACTTGTGCAACTTGTTTACGTTTTCCTTGCAACATTTTTTCTTCTTCTTCCATTCTTGCCCACGTTTTGGCATTTCTCTCTCGCAATTGCACCAGTGTGACGTCACCCAAAAGTTATTCTCAAAAAACCTCTCTGATCGGCGCAATCTTGTATTCTATCATTCTTGAATACAAGCTGCCCACTAGGCTGGGTGGATTTTGTATGGGGAAAAATAAAAGTCATTTGACCGCATTGTAATAGCAATATTATGATGTCTTAGGTCTAAGCCAATCGTTATTGGCCAAGAAAGATTTATTTAAAACTGATCTTTAGCCCGCGCAATTGCATCAAAGTGTATAAATTTTGAAAATGAAACTTTGGCTTGTAATATCTATGAAATGCTTTATTGTTATAAACAGGACGATATATCAAATTAAGGGCTAATAAATTTAGTACCTCACGTTTATTTATCATTTTTCAATAAGTCTACACGTTTTTAAGATATTAAGATAAAACTTACAAAAACTATAATTTTCCCTTATGAATTTTCAATTCTTTATTACTTCAGCAACCAAGTGAAAAATACAAAAAAGTGAGACGAGATTTATTTCAAACGTTTTAATGTTTTCGGATGTTTATATAATACTAGCTTATACCCGCGGGTTTCACCCCGCGCTTTTATACAAATATGAAAAATAATTTAATGA